AAAGGTGAGGAGAAGAAAGGTGAGGAGAAGAAAGGTGAGGAGAAGAAAGGTGATGAGAAGAAAGGTGAGGAGAAGAAAGGTGATGCAGAGGAGAAAGGTGATGAGAAGAAAGGTGATGAGAAGAAAGGTGATGAGAAGAAGAAAGATGGGGAGCGTGCATCCAGTTCAGCAGGCCCAGCAGCTGGAGAAGACACACCATCCAAAAGCAAGGCAAAGCGTACACCCAAAAAGACACCAAAGACCTCTCCCAAGAAAAGGCGCCAAAAGAAAAACCAGGACCTTTTTATTCATCATCGTTGATTCTCAATGCACATCATAGATGTATTGTGTTTGCCTGCTTCTGTCATCTGCATTATTAACTAAAATATGCCGCACATGACTGTGTGTGTGTGCGTGCACGTAAGCATGATCGAACCATCAAGCATGGATCAATAGCCGTGAGGAGACCAATGCGGCCTTGCTTACCCAGCATGCGGACTTGCCTCATCTCAAGCTGCCGAATGGCTATACCACCAAGAAGCGCCATCCTGAGAAGACAATATGGGACCACCAAGACCCTTTTAACATGAACTCTCAAAAACGAGTCAAAAGGCTGAGCCTACCATGTCTTCTTAAGATCTGAACTTGGACTAAGGCCTTTTGTTCATTAAACCTGATCAATTCTCATTCATGTGATACTAGCTAGTCGCACATTGGAGGGTTGGGATTGGTACACCCTCAGGAGTTTCATGCTTCGTGCACCTGAAGACCTACCGGCGACTGGCAAGGTCGAGGAACCGCTGTCGATACAATTTTTGTAGTGGCCTCAAATTATCATAGTCATGAGTGATTGGACACACACATATACTCGAGATAGATGACAACGTTTAATGTTTTGAGGCTGGACCGTGGTGCGGGCAACTTCTATATCATGAAAGTCGATGCAGACCGCGTGAAGAAGATCAATGAGTTTGATCCCAAAAGCAATCTCAAGGCATGACCACTAGCCTTGCATGTTGTTCTCATGATTGAGCTGGTAGCTTTCAAGCATATGAACAACCGAGCAATGAATTACATTTCACAACCTTTTGCCATGCCCATATTGCCCTGGTGCCAGGTCAATGAGGTGCAGAAAGGTGTCTCCATCACTTGGACCGGAAGGGGCCTTCCCAAAGCGCACCAACCTCAGATCAGATCAGCAATTTAAGTGCGATCTAAGTGAGCTTTGCAAATTAATTGTTAATGAAACATGCATGATGTTTGCTGAACCCGTTCTCAAAGTCCAGTGGGTTACATGTTCATGATTGTAATCATTGAAGACTGACAATCTTCAGAGGAAAACTTTGTTCCCGGATACACCATGATACATGCACCATGTTTGAGGTGGCACTTGGCGATGATGACCGCTGGATGGGTGCCCGTTGGAAACATTGAGGGTCTACCGGTTGTTCAGCAAAGCTGAATTTTGGGGAGGATGTGAGCTCCTTTTCGTGCCATGGATGCTCCAAGGGTTGGATCGATCTCTTAGAGGTGTTGTGCAAGTTGTTTTCCTCCATTTTGTACAAGGTCGATCCCGTGTATAAACCACTAGTGCATTTTTGCCTCGTGCCACCTGTGGGATACGATCCTTCAAAGGCTGTCCATGGCTTAGAATTTTGACGTAGGTTGGATTGATATGATCATTGAACGTGATCTTGAAAAGAACTGCTGCCAAAACCCGATCCATCGATATATGCGCACGTGCATGCGCATGTCTTGGCAGTCATCCAGTTGTGTATTTTGCACCAGTGCACTCAGGTCTGGAAACAAATAGGCTTATAATGTCCTGTAGACTCATGCAATTTAATTCTAGAAGGAAACATCAGGAAACCATCTGACTGAGTGAGAGTTTTGTCGACTACTGCTCAAGTCACCCGTGGAGCCCCTTCAAGCTTGGTTTCGCTGTTGGTGTAGACCCTCATGATGCGGTCTCGGAGCAACGCATCGATATCCCCTTTGGCATTGACGCCGAATGCAATCACGGTGATGCTCATCCTGGGAGCACCACTGCTGCTGAAGCTTGTGTCATATCAAAGTTTGATTCCACTGATTAGGAATTAAATGTGTTGCATTCGTTCATGTCACCCGAACTTGACAATGTGCACTACTGCCAGTTACAGGTCCGATCACGTCAACCAATGCATGTCCATCAATGCCCAGGATCCATGCGGCGGAGTATGTGGCCCAGGCGACCCAGATCGACTCCCCAAGCAGCATCCGGGCTTGATCCTGAGATGATCATCAAGCATCATCCAACCGGTTCGACTAGTGTGTCAAAACTACATGAGCATTCTTTAGCAATCAGGACATCTTTGCCTTCGACGTCTTTGCTGGAAAGGGGGCTGTAAGTGCCGCATTCCGCATGAGACCCAGGACATCCGTTGATAGATCGTTTCATTTGTTGATTGATAATACTGATGCCTTGGGTTGGGCAGGGGCAAGGCCATGATGCAAGAAATGGTCCAAAAATTATCTTAAATTTATGACCTTTTTTTTGAACCGATTAGTAACCCGCATTTCTTGGATCATGGCCAACCCATGAGGAAAATTGCCAGTGCAAACTCGATTGACTGATTGATCTGGTAAAGTTTTCGTCGTGCGCGCGCACGTCTAAGCAGTCTCAACTTAAGGTGACCACAACCTCAAGGCGTCAGGTGCTCAGTGTCAGACAGATTGCTGTAGATTAGCGTTCACTGAGATGCTCACGGGACCCATGTGTCATGGATGATCTCATGTGCTTCACAGCGACATAGCATTTCCGCAAATTGCAAACATTCATGATGCATGAACTCATATTTCATATAGTGCATAGTACCGTCTCAGGCTGACCTATGAAGTGGAAGACCGCCCCAAGGTGAATGACATCTTGTCAGTGTCGAGGCCTCAATGAAGCTTAGCATCGATCAGATCTGTTATGATACGTGCTTTATTGTATTAGGACGGGCTGAAGCACAGTCCCAATGAGAATTGTTGACCGTCTTTGACTTCCGCGATATATTCATGACCATTCGCCCATGCTATATAGTTCAAGAGAGGTCAACGGACCGCAAAGAATAATTAGGGCCAACTGTAGTACAGTTGGCCCTAATTATTCTTAGTGCAGTGCACTAGTGTGTGGTGTTTTCTTGACCTCTCTTGGGTATGATCCGATCAGATCAACACAGCCCTTATACCTGACCACGCCACCAGTCTCCTTCAATTCCGATGGCCCAGGTGCGGATTTCTTCGATTAGTCCAGGGAGCACTTAGGCTGGTCGAGGATGGAGCACTGCATGGCGGACCGCCCTGTAGTTCCTGGGTGTGGATGAACCGCGGGACTTCTTCTAGGTCCCAGCAGAACATCATGGGTGACAAACGACAGCCATCTGTGGTTGAGGCCAATGCGAAACTCAAATTGAATTGGTGCCGTTGTGTATTCTATTCTAGAATTGTTCATTGCTGCCACTGCTGTAGTTTTCGTTTTGAAGAGTGTCACATAAGTTGTTAACCAAGGATCATGTCGAGGTTTGCCTTGGTTGCTATACTTTGCATTGCCAGATGCATTCATGTAACTATTGAACAACCACGGAGTTCACTTATGAAGCATGTGAAGTACTTCAAGAACATCGCGAAACTGCTTCGTGGAACCATGGAATGGAGACATATCAACTAGTGGGGACTCTCAGACCGCTACTGTGCAGGGCATGCAAAGTCACATGAAACACACATGAAGTGACACCCAATAATCTTACCATCGATCCTCCATGTCATTTGATGGAGACAAGCGTCTAGACTATTTGATCGATCAGCTCCGCTGCTCAGCTGGATGGGCACCTGGGGGGCATTCGCGGCCAAAGCCATCCACGGCGTTTGGGAATGCGTCCAGGGACCCAGTGCTGCTGTGCCGTGCAAGTGGGCTTCTCCGTTTAAGTCAAATACTAAGTCAAATTTACCTGGCTCCCCAACGCATGCATGTGCATGTTAAACATGCGAGCATGTATTCGTTCTGAGGCCCTATGTTGGAGGACTATACCGGAAGCTGTCTCGCAAAAAGCAGAACAAAATGAAGAAGAAGGCCAATGCAACGGATGGGGCCATTGTCATCCACTACGAGAGTTCTACTGGAAAACGAAAAGTGTTTGGTACTTAGTTGATAAACTATCGATCGATCAGGTCTATTTAAAGCATGTACTATGTGTTATGAATTTCGATCTATATCTATAAAGCATATGCGTCATGAATTTGGCCGACATGACTTCCCCTACAACTGAGGCGTGGTGGGCCCCAACTCAAAGCATCACAGGTCTATCCGAGGAAGTATGGAAAACGATTTCACGAGCTCCATTGTGCTTACGTGGCTTCTTGACGATAAGGGAACCCAAGCCGGTTGAGCCATCTGAACCATTGATCGATCTCATTTGAATTCTTTTTGGTGAATACGACATGTTCATAGGAAGTCTCGGTACACTATCCTACACTGCCGTCGGCACAAACAAGGCAGAACATGCTGGTGATCTCCGCGCAGCCTTGTATGGTGATGATGGACTTGTGCGGCCTGAAACCCTCGCCCATGCTATGAAGCATGCCACTTTGCCAGGATTAAGCAAAATAGATTCGATCATATTCGATCATAGTACGAAAATTATTTGATCTGGGTTGATCATATTGGGTCGATCGTGTTTGTCATGTTTAAGGTCATGATTCGATAGCTAAGTTCTCCTCCGATCCACACCAAGTTGCTTGCAAGGCCAAGCCATTGACCTGGTGGGCGCCGGCCAAATTGGAGGAGCTGAAAATTTTCTTGAAGGGAGAGCGGGATGCAGGACGATACAGGCCCCAGTTCCGTGAGGGACTGGACTGATGTCCCCTTAGCGTGACCAATTAATTCATAATTGGACTTCACACCCACAATGCACCAGAGAACTGTCAATTCCATCATGAATATTAGAGACATGCTAACTGATATTTGCGTGCATTGACTCGCACAAATGTCAATGGGGTGTACGTGCAAATAGTGATGACAGAAAGTGGTGTGGCTGAACAAATGCCAACATGACCACTTCATGATGCAAAAAAGCAAAAATAAACTGGAGGGGTGCGTGGTCCAGGCGTGGTCCCAGCGTGGTACGGCCTAACATTGCCGTGGAAACACCTAACATTGCCGTGGAAACACCTAACATTGCCGTGGTCTCAAAATCCTTGAAAATTACATATTTTGGTACCAGACTGATAAATTGTCATTAAATACAAATGACTCTCATCGGGTTTGTACATTTGCCCAAACGGCCAACAAACACGTAACCATTTTGGAAACATGTCTAGAAAACAGTGCGTGGCCCAGCCAGTTGAATCGTGTCTTCCACTGTACATCGCAGGGGCTCTACTCGGTGGTGTTCTAGATCAATTAGGGATGATATGTGATCATGATAGCAACAAACTCTAGATCAACATGCATGAGTGATGCAACTCCCCTAGCAACTACTGACCATCGTCCAATGGAGCGCTCTCAGTTGATATTTATTATATTTGTTTATATAGGTCCATCCACACTCGCGGCTTGACCATGGGCATAGACGAAGCCAAGAAATTCTTGGCTGCAGCCAAGTCTCGGGCTTGCCAGTGGAAGCCTGAATCTTGCCATCCCGCAGCTCGAGCAGCTTTGAAATCGCCACCTGAGAAGCTCACACCATCAACTTCCGAAGGTTGGGGGTGCAGTTGGTCAGCTCTTCAAGTTAATTGCTCAGAGATTTAAATTAATTTAGATTAGCTTAGTCACGAGATGATGTAGCATTTAATCATTGCACAATGTGGCCATGCATGCACGTGCATGAGTTTTGACATGTGCACTGTAAATCACTCGATCGATCGAATTTGTGCGCAGGTGGAGTGAGCACTGCTAGCCCGGCACTTTCTCCTGCTTCTACTGTTCCAGGAACTGATGAACAGGCTCGTGCGATGGCTGCGGCTAGTGTTCAGGCGCTTGGTGGCGCCACCCCCGAAGAGAAGGTTAATCCGTCACTCACCCCACGACCTTTGCTCTCCAAAGGCATACAGTCAGTGGAGGTCTTTCAACAGGAAGAGGTGACACCAGCACCACCAACGAAAGCAGCACAGCCTCAGCCAAAACAACTGAAGAAGAAGAAGAATAATAATTCCAAGAGTAAGAAGAGTGCGCGTTCGAAGGGTCAGAAGAAGAAGAAGACTATCAAGAAGCCGACCATCAAGAAGAAACAAAATGAGAAGACACATGAACTGAACCAAACCTCGCCTCACCTGCCCGCTGACCCAAAGCCCGCTGACCCAAAGCCCGCAGTAGCTGCTGCAGCTCCACCACCCTGTGTCAAGCAAGAACAGGTCAAACAAGAACTGCACGATAGCCCACCAGCAGTTGCAAATGCAATTCCGGCACAGATCCCCATTCCTCCACGACTATTGGCATCACCTGCACCGGAGTCCGTTCACCAACTCCTGAATCGGGCTCAGACTTCTGACCACTTTGACATCACCGATATGCAGAAAATGGTGGCAGAGACAGTCAAGGCAGCTTTGCCTTCGCACAAGAACGATCACCTTTCTTCACGAAGTGCACCAGATCATCATCAACCCAAGGTCCGCGTTCGTAACAAAGAGGCACACGCTCGAAGGATGCGATTTTATCGCAGCCTGGAGAGTAACTTGCATTTGCTAAATATTTTGCCTATATAGGATAAGTTTACTTGTGTTGATCGACGTCGTATGAAGGGAATTCCAATTGATTTTATTTGCACATTGTGCCGTGTGATCGAATTAGAATAATTGTTCATGCTTAGATCTCAGGTTCCAAATCTCCTGCTGAGATTGTCATGCTGGGTGAAAACGCTAGGTCAGCCTCAGGACCGGAATTGAGCCTACGGATCGATGACATCAGATAGATCGACATATGTGCGTGCTATTTAGTTTATGTGAATGACATAAACCAGTTATGCGTTGCATGCATTCTCATGATTCCCACTGATGCTCCGTGCTGGTGGTTATATGCACATGCATGACAAGTCTGTGTGCGCGTGCGCGAACAGGAGGGAGGAAAACTGATCAGTTTGCCATTCTCTTCGAGGAATGGATGAAGTGTGGAGAGTCATGGACAAACTCAAGCTTTGTCGTTCGCATGAGAGAGCGGAACAAGGAAAGCCAACGAGGAGGCCGACGGTGGATGACGGAATCAGACATAGTGGCCAAATATTTGCCAGGGAGGACTTTGGAAGAGGCAAAAGCCATAGCCAGAGAGATAGTGGAAGGAAAAGAAAGTGATCCGCATATGAAGAAGACGCACATTCGGCCACACCCCGATGCCCCATTGAGGGCTGACATGAGGCTGTTCTTGGTGTGGGATGAGTCCTATGAGACTGAGGAACGAGACGTGATTGTCGAGACCTTATTTTCAGGCAGTGACACTGATGGTCAAAAGAGCAACAAGTCAAAGTCAGAAAAAACAAAGAAGAAAAAGACCAAGAGTGTGTCTTCTTCGTCAAGTGTTGAGACCATATCTGACAGCGAATCTGAAAGCTCTTCAAGCAGCCATCGTGCAAAGAAGCGAAACAAGAAGGGAGGTCGAAAGACCAAGAGAGACTCTTCGAAAAGCAAGAAGAGAAAGGTGAAAGACAATGATGACAAGGATGCTGATGCAGTTGGGGTGGCCGGTGCTGGCGGTGGTAGTCCAGGAACTATCCCGCCAAGTGGACCAGGTGCCAATGCAGACAAAGACAGCAGGAAGAAACTCAAGGAGTTAGAAAAGGAAAAAAAGAAGAAAGAGAAGGAAGCCGAGAAGGAGAAGAAGAGAATCGAGGCAGAGAAACAGAGAGAGAAGCGAGCAGCGCTCAGCAAAAGGCGAGGAGATGCAAAGAAGGCGCTGCGCTATAGGGAATGCACTCTATGAATCAAACTTGAATTTTGCTTTAATAAGTGGCATTGCGCATCACAGCTGATATCATGGACCATAAAGAATTCTGGGCCTAATTGTGATTGATATTTGCCAGCGAGTTTCATTCTAAGTTGTGCTAGCTATGGTAGGCAGTAGGCACCTTCACGTTACTGCACACTCTCACCTTCCACCATCCAATCGCGACAGGAAGTGGCTACTTTGGATTCTTGCATTGGGGACACAGTGCGCCGTGAAACCCATGCACAATCTGTGAGCCTTGGCCCTGATATGACATGTCATGTTCTAAGCGTATCTTCTGGATTTGACAGGTTTGAACGTCATGAATGTAACTAAGACTAAGACGTTATCCCATCATGCATGCGCATTATGTATATACACGTGCACATATATTACCTATAGGCCTAGGGAAGTTATAAAAGCTTTTAAAGGACAAGCAACTAGGGTCCCCTTTGTCTTTTGTGTCCGATCAACTTGTGTTTTGATGAGTTTTGCAAGTTTTTCTTTTCCCTTGTAAGTTGCTCCAAGATGCATGTACAATGAAGCTAGCATCATAGTGAGCCGCCAGATCCCGCACTGATACCTTAGGACGGATCCAGTTCTCAAAGATGCGTTGATCAAGGAGGCTACATCTCAACGCGCGAGTTTGAAAACTGCCAGGGAAAAGCTTCAGAATGCATTGGACATCGATTCAGTGTCTTGGCTTGGAGAGAGGCATGAGCAACAATATGTTTTCGATAGGTGTCAAGGCAAATATATTCTCATCATTATGAAGCTTGATGTGAAGCTTTTTCGATAATAGTTGGTTTGTGCATGTGGTCATGGATCTGTGACAGGCTCAGATCTGATATGTTTCACTATTTTTGCTTTTTTTTCGTCCAAGCTATGTAAATAAAGTTACAAATATCGACACCTCAGCGGACTGTTGTTTAAACAAACTAGAAAAATTGGATCTGGAAACTAGGTTTCAAGGTGTGATTAAATACTTAATTGAACATAACGAAACTACACCACAACCCAAAACCAAATGCACTGGTCGATGTGGTATGATATGATGTTTTTTTTTGTGCCATCTCTGTTCCAAATCCCAGGCGGAGCAAATGGACAAGCTGATGCTTGAAGCACGGACTCATTCCGCTGATTACAGCGCCCGCAAGAAAGCGATGGGCATGCAGTAGTGTTTCAATGCCACTTGAGCCCAGGTTTTGTTGAAAGCAAGGGACAAGTCCCTTGGAGATCTTGGTTTGGCTAGATGCACCCTCGCCTGACAGAATCGAGTACCTTCAAGCCTTTAAGGGCTCCTTTGTGGTGAACAAATCCTGTCCCATTGCTGTACTATAATCCATCTTGAACGGTATGCATGAATTTGGTTGTGAACGTGGGGGGCGCACCAGATCATTACGATCTCTGCAATCCGGTAGGTTAGAACCTTTCTTGGCCTTTGGTGGCAACTACCTTCAAGTGGGGATGACACCCTACAAAAATGTTTGATACTCAAAGAGCATAATTGAAGGTCCTAGATCCGACTATGAACATGAATCATAACATTGGTGTGGGGTGTCAGGGTTGTGAAGGTTTGCCTTTCTTAGGCTTAGCAGGGCATGGCGAGCAAAAGAACTTAGGTGAATCATGCGCCTGTGTGATTTCACGCAGCGAAGCGAAGGAAAACCAGGTGTGCATTGCATGTGCACGCACGTGTTGTTCAAATTGTATATGTGGGATGGTGGGATGGTGGGATTGCACATGACATGATCGACTATCGACTGATCTGTCTAATAAATGTTAAGCGGACCTCGTGAAAAAAGATCGGTTCTCTATCGATTGAACCTACGCTACTAATTTCTAGATAATACTTGACCTGTATCTTCGAAGGATGTTGATTCCGGCCACTGCATTCATTATTATTGTAAATTAATTGGGTTTGACCGAGAAGAACATGTTCAACGGATCAGTTCAATTTAAACTTGATGTTCATCGTCGATTTTCCGTTTGGGTCATTACTTCGAGCTTTGCCTGACCCCCTGGTACCCCCAACACCTCCCCATATTGGCCATGTCCCTCGCAGGTGATGGCACAGCTTGGGTCGCCCAAGCTGCAATAGATGATGTCGCGTCAGCAGCACCTCGGCTATTCAGATGTGTGGACGAGGGCTTGTGGCTTGTGGCGTGGTTTTGGGTTTTTGCGTGATCTAGTGAAACGGGTCATAAGAGGGTTGCGCTATTTCACTTCCAGATTGTAAAATTAACATTCAGCAGGATATCAGTGACAGAACAATGATTAACCATTACTGCTCTGAGGTTTCCAGCGTTTCCAGGGCAGTCCGGAATGCGAGAGCCCATCTCCTGGATCCTTTTCTTAATTATGACCACGTGACCACGTCCGTTATACAGTTGGATTATGGGGCCAAGGCTAAGAGGTAATTTCCCAAACACTGAAATGATACACATCAAAGCAAAAATATCAGAATTCATTTCCGTGAGTCAATAACTCAAGTCCTAAACATGTGGCATTTGATTGAGGAAGCTGGTGATTCAATCCACCCTTGGTCCCGACGCATGGCTGCTTTTTCTGGTTGCAATACGACCAGAGACTTTTGGAGATTTACTCACACGGGCATTGCTTCTTGGCACGTGTTTTGTTATGATTCACGATGCGAGCTGCGTCCCATAGGAACCTTTTATTTTTCACAAGCACACACTGCTTAGAAGACGGTCGAATTGAATGCGTGTGTGAATCCTAGGAAAGCCAAACGATCAAAGTTCCTATCAAATGCAAGAGATCTCCTCAGGGCTATGTCATTGAAGAACTTGAAGTCCTCGACCCCTTATCCGTGATTGACTTTATCTTCAACAAGGTACAAATTTCAATCAGTGACAAAGACATTCAAAGTTATTGGGGTCATTACCGATCTGCGGAGATCTCTGCCAAATGGGCATGCGAGCATCCTGGAAGCAGCAATTCAATTCCCTGTGGTTTATATGGGGACGCCTGCAAAATTCGTGATTATCAGAAAATGGTGGGGATCTACCTCAACTTACCGCTATTTAGACCACGCAGCATCCGTTGCTCTAGGTTCCTCCTTGTTGCCATTCAAGAGGAACTCATGTTCCAAAGGAAAACATTGGATGCCATTTGGCGTTACATTGTATGGAGGATGAACCTTCTGCTGACGGGCCGCTGGCCCGATTGTGACATCGATGGTGCCCGGCTCGCCGGTCCTCAGCTGGCTCGTGCGGGGCAAGAGGTTGTTCGAGGAAAGACGTTTGCCGTCACAGAGTTGAGGGGAGACTGGGTGTGGCTGAAGGACTGCTTCTCTTTCAGATCGTCATGGAAGGGCGGGGTGAAGGTGCCGGTGTGCTTCATGTGTGAAGCAGGTTCAAATGAACCCTGGCTTTACTACAAGGTGGAAAGGGATTCCAGTGTATGGGACACGGAGTACTCCACCCTGGCCCAATTCTTGGTGAGACAAATGCCTCACCAACCAAGTTACTAGGTGGCACGTGCATGTGTCGCAAGTGACTTCAACACAGGCAGTCGGTACAGTGCTTTAGTAACATTGGCATCGGTCTTAAGGTGATCTTGGGTAGTGCGGTTGCAAATCTTAGGTCCACTCATCGCCCTCAAAGGATTCAGACACGATATGATTCGTTGGTGCAGCATGCACGTTATCAATTTGGGGCTGCTCTATGGGAGCAATGCGTCCGTGCTGTGACTTGTCAAAACTTGTCAAAGTTGCCACCCATTTAGATTGTATCGAATCGACCTTGCAAGTACAAGAGCTCGGTCAAGATTGTTAAATTTGTTGAGTGGTTTATCGCTAAAAAAATCATCACCGGCTGACCGGCTCTCAGGGTTATGTTGTGCGAAGACCAGTTCTTTGACGGGAACAACTTTCGGGAGCAACTTGAAACAGCCTATGACGACTTCAAGGACTTTACAAAGATGCACAAAATCGCTCACTCCCAGAAGATATTCACACCTCGATTGGTGCCCCAGCTAATATACCAGTGGCATCAGTCATGTCAGAGTGGATTCACCGGGTAACTAAACTAATTCTCATGTTGTGGCCTAGACTATGCTGAACGGAAGTCTTCTAGCCCAACGTAACTAAGAAACCAATCTTTGTACGCATTGTCTTAAGGGGGTTGAACTAAGGTGGTGAAGAAAGACGGTCAACTTTTGATGACTGGTAAAGCGTACAACAACCGGGTCATCGCTGAATGGCTGCACGATGCTGTGAAGCGAGCTCGTGGGAGTTCAACTGACCCAAGGATGCCTCTTACTTACCTATGCATGATCCTTTTATCAATTAATGTGAATCTCGTTTAGAATGGTTGATGGGTATTGTCCAGTGCCTGCAGCGCGAGTTTAATGTTCATACACCGGACCCATACATGCGATCTCAGGAATGGGATTGCACGTTTCTTTGGCATCATGGAGAGATGTCCGAGGTTTTTGTTTCCTGGTTATGCACTGGATGATGTGATGCCATGTTTGTGAAACAAATATAAGCAACTCGTTTCTAGAGCATTCTGAAAGAAGAATCACCAACAACATGGATGAAAGCTCCAGTCTTGCACATGCAGCCGTGTGCATGTGCACGAACACAAGGTCTCCCGAACAAGCAAAAGCTTTGGATGAAGCTGGTATGCAGTACATAGACGCTCACATCAAACTCGCACATATGTCCTTCCAGAAACTTTTCAGCAATACGACACTGCCACCCTTAAACTAATCGTTTGTTCATCGCATTTTCCTCAGGGTTTTGATTCAAAAGGCGAGATCGATAGACATCAATCCGTGCAACCCGGCCCCCCCAAGGATGAACAAGGCCCACTTCATACTTCGTCCAAAGATCCATGCACTGTGGCTGCAAGGACAGCAAACCAAGCCAGCAGTGCAGAATCAGCCCGCAACAGTGAAGCCATGCATGGCTCTGCAGTACAGTCAGAGACGAAGTGCTGTATCATTAATAAGCTAGTGTGCACAAGTCCAATTAGCCTTTGCACATTGACAATTTTTTTGGTGGTGATACCTTTTTATTGTTGGGTTTGATCTTTGACTTTGAAGATAAAAGCTTACCCGCTAAAAAATGTTGTCTAAACTGACAGAACCAGAGAGTCCTGGGTGCCTTCAAACATCCTTGAAATGCTGGATGGGATCACTCGATCAAAGTAAGCTTATCCTTTGCTGTTGGCATTGGGTGAATTGAGGCATTTGGCCATATTTTGAAAACTGTTCGAGATCATCGCCTCTCAGCTACGATAATGAATCCTTGTTTCAAAGAGCACACGCATGCAAGCACGCATGCAGTTAGATCTAATTAACGGCGGATTGCATCGTGACATTCACTTCAGACACTCAACTTTTGAGCCCAGCTCAGCCCAGGTGAAAACCCAAGGTTTGTGCATTGCTTCCACGATGAGGATGCAATGATGTGGTTGAAACGTGCCTGCACTGCATTATATGGGACCCATGAACTCGATCTAATTCACAAATATTGCTATTGCCAAAACGGTTCGTCACACATGGCATTTAAAGTGCGCATTCTTTATGACCGGTACCCAGGCATCACGTTGAAAGGGCATCAAAATCCTCGCAAACAGCGTGTTTGGTGCCTGAAGCTCTCCAGACTCAGGACTTGATAGTTGAATAAGTCAACTTAATTTGATTGTCTATTCCCTCAGGTGACATCATATCGATCTACTTGTACGAAAAAACTTTGTCAAGCAACTTGGATAGGTAGCCAAGGTCTTACAAGTACTAGCTCGATGATAGGTGCAGCGATGGTGTATGATTCCAGCTTAGCGTTAAAAAACGACAACCAAGATTCTTTATTTTCTTTGCTGGCAGGATGCTTTCTATGCAATGGAGGGTGCGCGAGTTTCTTTGGTGCATTCAGTAGCTGTGAGTGCTATTTGGCATGCTACAACACCGGATGGTAGTGGTACTGCTTTGATTTTGCATCTGCCAAGGCTGAACCGGTCATCGTTCTCGCGCGCAGTGGGCAAGAAATAAAAGAGGCTTTCACAACATGCGGGCAGACATGATATTGAATATTCATGGTACCTAGCGTGACCATCACATGATATCGTATGGATCCGTTGAGGCAGGAGGGTACGCGTGGGCAGCGTGGTCAGGGCGTGGTCGGCGTGTTGAGGGCAATGTTTCGTCTTTACCCTAAAGCGGTGGCAAAGTATACACCCAGGACTCTCTGGGTATATATAAGTAGGTTGTTGGGTTCAAACAACTTACACTACGACTCAATTACATGGAACTGGATGGCGTGGCCCTTAGAGTATAGGAATAGCTGAGGTTTGACTTGTCCTATGAAAGTCACTGCTTGGGTGGAACAGCAACCGTCTGCCCTTGCAAAGGGGAATGTCTGATAAGTATGTTTCACATGAACACAACATCCAGAAGTGCAAAGAAACACCTTGCTTATAGAAACCAACCACAGGAGAAACAACATGGTGGTAGCAAATGGTAGCAGTAGGTATGTCACACATCAACATCAACATCGTTGGCTCATTCCCCAGCCTTGTGCTCTCGGGGGATCATCGCAGGTTACATTACAGCTCCATCATTCTCAACATATCCAGGACGGGTATCAACAATGATCGGCGCCATGTGTTTAAAACCATTTGATATAAACAATGATGAACATATCCCAACGCATTGAGGTCTTGAAAAAGGATCCACTCCTGGGTAACCTTCCGCTCCAACAAAAAACATCTTCCACTCCATCAGCTATCCCGCACCACTGGAATGGCCCTGTTCCATGACACAAGAACTCATGGAACCTCATTAGACCTTCTGGTACCCTTCAAAGGTCCCAATGCTCACGTGACCTCAATGATCTTCGGGTACCCGGACCACATGCTACCCCCCTCCACCCCCCTCCACTCTGCTCTCAGCCGGTCCCTTCCACTTCGCTTCCACCGCTGGGCCACAAGAGAGGCTGCGCGCCCGTCAGGAGCCGATCGCTGCCACGGGCCTCTGCGAGCATCAAACGCTCCAAGAGCATCTCGAAGAGGCGCTTGCTGCGGAGCCTGGGGAGCTGGGGGGGAGGTAGAACAATGGCAGGAAGCCCGGTGAGGCCGGTGTTTTGGGAGATTGGATCTAGGGAGAGGAGGGAGAACCAGGGTCTGTGTAGAGAGGGTGGGGCTAGGCGGCTAGGGCTTTTTGACCTATAGCTGGCCTAAAAAAAGCAAACTGGTTCCGCGGAAGAACAATGGAGGTGTTCAGATGCCAAAAACCATGAGGCCATGAACAGCAAAAGTGAGAAGTGTTCACAAGCCATTTTGGCATGCTTAGCTAGGGGAACCAGTTTCAGGGGTCCCTGGTTTATAACAAACATGATTGAAGTCCGAGCCTCACAGCCAAAGCCGGTCTTGCGGACCAGTACTGAAGTCCGGTCATGCAAAACAGTAGTGAAGGAGGTCAAGGACCAGGTTTAACTTGGTTTTGGGATTGGCAGGGCCTGGTCGAGAAAGACAAGCTGTTGTTCCAATATGGCAGGACATGTCGTGAATCAACGTCTTGACATACAAAAGCGTTTGTTAGTGCACAGTGGGAACATCGGAGCAACCATTATAGGTTCTGACTTAGGTTCTGGTGGTTTGGTGTCCCCAAACTGCTACACCTAGATCCGGCAGTCGTCTTCCTGGTCTATGCCTAGTCCAGACCTACCCTCGATCTCCATTGAACAGTTGCCAGTGGGTCAAAACCTGGAGCTTCAAACCCTGGTAGCTTGAGGCCCCTGGTAATCAGTAATCAGTAATCCATTCTGTTCTCATGTTCGGTGGTGACCCCTGGTCCCCCCTGTTTGGACGCACGTTCGGGTGCTGCATGTGCTAAGAAGCCTGTCCAAGTTCTTGGCTGTCTGCTGGTCAGCCACGAGCTTCATCGGATCCATTGGTTCCTCCTCGTAAAAATCACCTTGCGGCTGCCCCAACGAGGTGAGAACCACCTTTTCGTCCTCCAAGTTCACCTGGCGCCGCTCGACAGGTCGACCAACGCCACGGCGGCGATACGGACAGTACGTTCAGAACGAACTACTCGGTCCGGAGTAGAAGCGATCCTCTCCGGTATACCAGGTGTCCTATCCTAGTTCGTACTCCTATCCTTGTACTGTCCTACTTCGTACCTATCCTAGTACCGATCCGTACTACTCCTATCCTGGCGCCGTACAGAACGAACTCGCACCAGGACCTGTGGTCGTTCGTTCTGTACGGCGTATGGCCAGTCTCGACACTGCCAGCGTCACATCCATTTGGATCCATTGGCGGATGTGGGGTCAGCTTGCTACTACATGCCAGGGGGGCCCCACAAAACCATATAAAAAAGTCTGGTTTCGCCCAGCAACAAACCCTTTGTCATGCCACGATAAGTTCAATTGTTTGCTCGCGCCGCTGGGTGTCTGCGACGCAAACGACGAATTTGGCCTGGAACCTCCCAGTTGACGACGCGAAGCAAACCCAAACCCCGCCAATTGGTTCAGACCTGGATGGTTTGGGTGCCCAAAACCAGGTCTGACACATGAGAAGAGAACACAGCTAGGCGCCTTGGCTTCGTGACAGGGTGGGGAGGAAGTATTGGAATGACAATGGGTGACAGGAGGTGAACAATGGCCAAGAATCAGCGCAAATCCCATGGAACATCGAATTTCACCCCACCTTGAATACAGCAACCAAAACCAAAGGTGCTCATGCACCCAAATCAGGTCTATAAATGGTGGCTACTCAGAACATGGGTATGTTAGTGTTATGTCTGTCTATTCCATTCGGTTTCCTTCTGACTTAAAGTCACTTAACCCAATTCACATAATCAAGGGCACACCAAATGGGCGGAAAACAAATGATCTCAGGCTGCAGCTTAGGCGACACAAACAGAAAGCAACAGGTAACAGGATGTTGTCGGGACATCTTGGATGAATTCACCCTGAACTTGAGCACCTGTCTGGAGGACACCGGGGAGAAAGAACAGTACAATCTTTTAAACACCTCCTCCAGAAACTGACGCCCAGCGCCATCCGTGAAGCAAAAAAAATCCCTACAAGTCAGGTCCTGGGAGCCTCTGGGAGTTGTGCACCTCAGTCAAACCAACACCTCCCACGCGCGGCGTTCGGGTCGCTACCAGGGCACGAGCATCTCCCCGCGGCAATGGACCGACAAATGGGCCGCGGCCGCCGCCTCGAAGTGGGAGAAAAAGAAACACAAAAGATCTGGGGTGACGATTCCATGAACAAGCTTCAATATGGATACCTAGGGGGCACTAGGATTTAGGGATGTGGATGACTGGGTTTTGGGTTTAGGGTTTGGGGTTGTGGATGCATTCTCTGAATGGGCCCTGGAAGACCATGTCCCTCTCATGATAATCTACTTGTAGGCTCCCGTTTCGGTTTTCCGGCTTCCTTGTCCGGTTTCACTATGTCCTGTTCATAAGCTGAAGTAGAAATCCACCTTAATTTAGTGTCAAGCGCTTCGTTTAGACTTCATTTCAAGTCACCCCATGTTTAACCTCAAGGAAACCTAAAAACAAGACACTTGAGTCCCAGGAGACAAGGCATTGTTTTGTTTTTAGGGCTTTGTTTCCAAGTCCTCTAAAAACGTTCACTACCTACCCCCAAAAAAAAAAAAAACGCTAAGGTCCGCTCTTATGGAGCCCGATGTTGCACCTAGAGACGAGGAACTACAAACTGTAATGCAATAAAGAACACCACGCGTGATGGTTGATTTTGGCCAGTTGCTGTCCTTGTTAAAGTTCTTTCATACTCCATTCTAATGCAGCTCATCCTAGATTAGATTCTGCTGGACAGGGGCTGCTTCATAATCTAAAGCTCTGCCTGAACAATAATAAACACGGCATATCATGTCAGACTTGTCTACAGAATCAAGGCACAATCAACCTAAGGGTGTGGTGTAATTAATGTGGATTAAAAAGGACTCTCATCGCAACCAAGGCGTGGAAAAGTCTCGAGGTTTGTGACATCTAATCTACTCAAAAAATGCCCTCCAACTGGAAGTCCCACCTCCGCCGACTGACCTGGGGGGATGCCCTAACGGTATGACCCTATCCCCTCACCACGTCGTTCCCTTTGTGGTCCGCCCCAGCGGCGAGCAGGCGCTTGGGAAGTACTTCATCCATGGACATCCGTCCCTGGAGAGTTTGCAGTTGCAACGTGCTCTTCCTGAAAACGCCGAGGACGGGAGATGCAGCATGCTGAGGGGATGGCCGTTGGGAGCCACTGAGGGGACTGAGATGGACTGAGGGAAGGATCTGGGTCCAATTGAATAGAAAAATTATTCACCGGGTCCATCTCAGGACATACTAGGACAATATGATCTGGGTCCACTGGAGGCTCCCTACTGGGTCAACTTGTAGAACATGTCAACATGTCCTCCCACCAAATGCTGGCCGATTCCGAGCCAAAATCCATCCGGTGGCAGTGGCCGAGTCACTCATGCTCCACGGTGGCGTGGGCATATATGAGCCGTGCTTCCTGCAAAGCGAAGGACCTCATGCCGCAGTTCTCAATGCCAAGGGCGACCCCTGCTTCATGAAACAAAATCCTGGTTTTGCGACATGGATGTGGTTCAGAAAGGAAAGAACTCAGGAAACAGCAGCGTATCTAGACAATCAAAACATCCCCGAAACAGTTTTGGGTGAACAAAATGGACTTGTTGGCAGAATGGACCTTCGCCTTTCAGCCTCCAAATGCTATAGCCAAGTTGCTGCCAAAGCATTAGGCAAGCCTCCGACGCGCGAATCTGTTTCTGCTTGAGGCGCTTTAGTTTGATCTGGGTTGGGGTAACAGAATGTCGACTGTTGAATGTGCCAGAATGATTTTACAGTGGTTTCAGAGTAGATGGCACAAACCCAAGATGTCTTTTAGATGGGGATCCATATAAACCACCTTTTGCAATCCACTGTGCATTTCCAAGTTTGGGGTCAGGAACCCCAAATGGATGGCCTTTTGTTCCAACAAGTTCGCACCCTTGAACAGGTCCAGACGGTTGGTTTTTGCGCCATCGTCCAAAACGGCCAAGTGTGATTCTCACCTTGCACTTTGGCCACCTAGCTGTCCAAAAATTGGTTTCAAGAAGACCCGCCACGGATTCATGCCCCACGTGAGCGGGAAGAACGAGGAACCACCAAGAACGAAGGGATGTTGCTGACCTCGAAGGCCTCTCTAAACCCCTGGGACTCTCCAAACATGTCACCCTTCCCAATGGTTCGGACCCGGATTCTCGATGTGCTTCTGCCACCGTGTTGTCCTATACCAATCTTCAACTGGAGGAACAGGATGGACATGCGCTTGGTATGACAGCGGGCCGGGGCTGCAGGAATCAGCTGCAAGTAATGCTGCCCCGACATGCTCACGGACTGGCCATGATGCTGAAACTGAAGTACAAGGTCCGACCAAACGAGGAGCAAGAAAACGGACTTCGATACCAGGTTTGAATCCCAGAAATTCAAGCTTCAAGACTTGAAGACTTCAAGATCTAACACCAGTTCTTGAATCCAGAAAGTGTCCACATAAACTTTCTTTAGAATCTTGAAATCTTCAAATCTTGAATCCTAACGTTTGTAAATGTTTGCAAACGCTTGGACTGGAAATTATCTTAGGTATGGTCTGCAAATAAATGGTTGTTATTGATTTTGTCTCATATATATGTATGGAACTAAGTATGGACTACATGTACAAGTATTCATGTATTAACCATACGTGTAGTATGTACTGTATACTGTATAATATAAATATATACTATACAGACTATACACTGACACATATGTTAATCATTGTTAATCTATATATGTGGTAATTACCCCTCCTCCAAACGTGGATTCAATTCAGAAACCACCTATATAATTGGTAGACCATCTTCGGGGAATACGGCTACATCAGTTCCACCACTCAGTTCCCACGTCTCTTCCAAGACACCAGAAAGAGTGGGATCAAAAGGCCGTATGCAACAGCAGAACCTGGTTCGTCCACGACGCTAGGTCGACGGGTGGACCGGGCGCTCCATGTGGAAAACACACCACGTGGCCTGGTTCGGTTCGGTGGTTTTGGGCGGGTGTTGGGATGCGTTTTCTGCGCGAAAATCTAGACCCTTCGACTCGGAGTTTTGGGCTGGAAACACAGTTCTGGGCTTCGACCGGACAGCCAACCGTGGTTGGTCGTGGATGAACATGGATGAACCGATGAACCAACCACTGTTGGAGAGTGAATCGCACCAATCACCAGACACCATACGACTTCACAGGTCACCAAGGGTTTGACCTGAGCATGGGCCCTTCCCAACCCTTTGTTGGAGGATGCTGGCATATCTTCAGGATTTTTGGGCGACGTGTCGTTTGATCCACCAGGTGTTCGCAAATGAACACCCACATTGCTGGAACTTTCCAGTATACGCCCATGCAGCGAAGAAGAAAGTCGCTTTTCGATGTGAGGATGTTGCAGCGGGAAAAAAGGCTTACAACACCACCGACTTCGCCGGTCCGGCACCCGGTTTCTTTGCGCGTATTTGCGCGTATATATCTTTGGCCAACACCCACAACCCTTCCGTACCCTCCGCTTGGCCAAAGCAGCTGTAGCCCACCAGGTCCACCCAGAAGCCCAGGCCATCTCCATTGGAGCACCGAAGCGTCGGTACTGCCGAGCGGAAGGCCCACTCGCCCAAGCTGTGCCCGTCTGAAGGTGCGGCACGGGGCGACTGGCTGCAGTGCTGTTTGCGGCTGCAGTGCTGTTTGGGGTGAAAAGCAGGTACTGTACTCATACCTAGACCTTCAAAGGGGTGTTCAATCGAGATCCACAAGTAGTGTAGGGTATTCATTGGAGACCCCTTTGAAGGTGCTGGTATGCAAATGTTGCACATATAAATGAACTAAAGGTGAAACTGCTGAAACACACGTCTGGATGGCGTACTTGATCATTCCAAACGACCACCATTAATAAGGATGTTTAAAACAAGGCGTCTTCATGGTACTTTGGCCATGCGAAGAACCGGGGGGTGGGGGGTTTTCCATGCGGCCAACTCCCCGTTTTTCATGCGGCGTTTGACCCACTCGCCGAGGGGTAGAGGAACTCTCATGGTCGCTCGGGAGGGCGCTCACTCCCCGAAACAGCGAGGCTGCACGCAACCCGCGCGTACGGCGTACGGCGGTCTTGGACTTTTCGAAGAAGACTCTGCGAATTCGGTCGTCCAAGCGATCATTTGTTTAAACAATGATCCAATTATATCCAATTACAATATCCAATCCAGGAGACACGAGAAGGGGTGCCGAACTTGGAGGATAAGGGTGCCCAGAACATCCACTCACTGGATGGGGCTCAAAACCAACTCCATGTGACTCCTGGATGATAAATATCCAATAAGAACCCCCCCGGTTCAGACTAACGACTGTAACAATGGACCCGTCAATGGACCCGTGCATGACGGCTCTTCTCATCTAGAACAACACACAGTGGTTTGATCAGGGGTCCATGGCAACAATGCAGGAGCGCAACCCAAACCACACACTCCCAAATCAATGCTGCCTCACGCGTCCATGTCGGGGAGCTGATTCCCACCCCACCCAATCTCCCCAATCTCCTCTCCGCCTCCATCGACGCTCTGACAGCTCAAAAGGCGGGAGGTGGAGGATGCACCACCAATGAAGAGAAAGGTCAGGGTCCTGAGAGCCATATTCACCTCAAACGTCGCGCTGCCAAACGGTGCCCGGCTCCTCGACGTGCACCCCACACGTGCGAAGCCCCCCCACTTTGGTCCGCTTCCGCCGGTGCGTGGAGCAGCTCATCAGGAAAGACCATCCGGTTGGCAAACAATCCTTTGGTCATGTCTGTGTTCCGTGGACGTTGGCAATGAGTCAAAGAGTTGCGGATGCAGGTCCTCCCGAGCAGGAGGACTGTTTTGGCCGCTCCGGAGGCTGACTCGGCAAGTGCTATGTATATGCTGGGGGCCTTCATAGTAAAGGAAAACAACTGGATCTGCCCTCCATGACTGTATGACTGTACAGATCTGTACAGCGGAGGGAAACCGGCAAACACCTTAAAATTTGCCGCAGGGCGAAAGGGGAATCTGCTTTAGACATGTATCAAAAAGAACACGTTCCCATGAAAACGGTCTGCATTGCATCCCCTAGATTCTTGCAGGGTGAACACTGGTTTCACAGTCGATAGTTCATGTAGACTGCTGATTACTAAACCCACCCTTGCCATCCAAATCGGGGATTTAATCACCAGTATTGCACGTTTTGCTAGGTGGGATTGTAGGCCGAGTTATTGGAATTGCTAGGTTTTGTTTCGTCGAATTTCCCAGGGGGGAACCCGTGCGCCTTTGGGTTTTGGACCTTTCAAACAAATGTTTTCCATCAGCATCCTCCGCCTACCCCGGGCGATGACCAATGACCTGGGCGCCTCCAACAAAAATTCCAGAAATCACCTACAGACTCTTCATGCCATTCGTTCTCATTGCTAGCAACATGGTTGAGCCACCTGACTCTAGGTGCATTGAGATGCTTGATGCACTGCTGATCCCCACGGTGGACACACGTTGAACCGCTCGGTCCGCTCGTTAAGACCCACACGCCCAGGCCAGCGCGGAAGAGTTCGAAAGCAGCACAACACGCAAGCCTCGGCGAGCGGAATTCGGACGTCGTCACCGTCGAGGGGGGGATTCGGCTTATTTAAAGATGTGGGATTATTTAGTAGGCCCCCCTCTCAAACCCTTTCAGGAATAGTTTATAGTAGTAGACTAGCAGTTAGAATATTCAAAAATAAGCAAGTTGAAGTTAGAATACCCTCAGAGTCAAACATGCAGGGTTTGAAATCTTAGCAGTAAGAATAAATACACAGATGAAACAGTTAGAATATACACGACAACTCCTCACACTCTTTTTTCCACTCTTTCATCAATCTCTTCCCGTCTCTTTCATTGTAATCATGCACTGCAGTGCAAATCTCCATTCATGCCATCAAATGGAGCAATATCATGCAAGATCTTATATGAACTATTCTATCTGCAGGTCATATTCTAAGTGCAAGGTTTTTCACCCAGCTCTCCGACAGTATTTTTTCTCCTGGGTTTTGGGAATTAAAAAATATTCTAAGTGCTAGTCAACAAGTATAAAACAATTCTGACTACCCTGCATATCGTTTCCTGAAAAATATTCCCCTAGGGGTGCTTTAGTTGCTGGAATAAATAATGGATATTGCCACAGAACCCTCCTCAAGGCCGCATGTCATCATGTGTTATCTTTACAGAAAGGGTAGCCATGTGGTGGAGTGGTGTAGATTGTTGAAACGCATGTTTTCGTGAGGATAGTGATATGTAAACATTACCAAATGCAAAATAGCTTCTGAAAACAATAGATTAAATAGACACACCAAGAAAAAAACACAAGTTCAGACCAACAAGTGCCCAAAAACAAGAAAAACAACAAGTTCAGACCTATGTCTCCTGTCCAGCCTCTCCTGGGTCCCTCTCCATGGGTCTGAACTTTTTGTTTTTTTTTGTTTTGGCTGGTCCCCATGACTACCCGCTCTCTATCTTTACTTATCTTCTTCATGTTTCTGTAAGTCTCTCTCTTGCTCTGTGAATTCAGCTCGGCAACTCAGATGTTTTTGGCACATGCAGTAAAGTCTTGAAGCTTTCAAGCATCTGAACCGCAGCCCCTGGATACAAGGCAAAAAAGGTGTGGCAAAGCAACCAAGCATCGACATTGAGCT